GAATGTTTAAAGAAAGAAAAAAAAAGACAATTTTAGTTTTGATTTGTTGTTATCAATAAGTACAGAAACAAATAGATTTTCTTTGCAGATAATCATACATTTTTGTTATTTATTTCGTTTTGGTTTTTCACTAACTTATTTCATATGTTTTCACCATTTGTTGACGGTATGCATCCACATCAACATTTTCCACTTATGCAATTACCTGATCGACAACAAATGCAAATACCGACTGGGTAAGACACTTCGATTTCGAAAGATGCTCGAGCAAAATCGATCATGTCATTAGTTAACATACCGATGGAAAACTAATCTCGATAGGAGATCAATCTATTTGCGTTTAAACAATGTTTACATTTCACATAACCTTTCTGCTTGGTAGTAGTGACATTCTCAACATGACATTTTTCCTTCTCGTTAGAGTGAAAAATATGACGAAGAAGAAAGAAGGAGAAGAACTTGTTAAAACTGAATTACTTTTGACAATCGATTGTCATTGTTCATTATCATCTGTTGTTATTCGAAGTTATTTTTCATATTTTGCCTCTTTCGTTCATGTCAATACTTTGCAGAAGGATACGATCAATTGTAAAAACTTATTCGAACGTGTCTGACCCGAAATCGATAGGCGATAAATCATCATGGTCGCTCGTTTATTTGCTCTCTTCCTCTCCATCTCTCTCTCCCTTTTCTCTCGTCATTCTCGCTCTACTTGACCCTTGGCGAACGTGTCCGACAAACTTTCAAATCTATCTCTATGTATAAGTTGCCCTCGATTAATTAAGTTTTTCTCTCTGTTCTGTTCTCGGGTGGGAGAGAGAGAAAGAGACACGTATATATACAGAAAGAAAAAACCGAGAGCGGGCATACTCTTGATTTGTTTAGAACAGAACAATTCATTTTCTCTATCAGTTTTTTTCTTCTTCCTCTCTCTCTCTTTCTTCCACTGCGAACGAAATAAGAAATAATTATATGGCGTGGCCGAAGCTAACGTACAAAATATAGAGAACGAGAGAGAGAGAAAATACGATTAGAAAAGAGAAAGAAAAGAGGAAGGGGACCTTTCGTCGACATCGTTGTCTTCGTCACATTCTCTCATACATTACCATGCCGCCCTTCAACATCTTGAATCTTTTCTCCTTTGTTCCTATCAAAGCGAACAATATCATGTGTTGTTGTTTTTTCAAATATACACATTCGGAGTCTGCGCATGTTCTCCAGTGTGTTTTGTTTCTCCTCCCTACCTCCTTGTTACTCACATGTATAACGCGTGCTCTATCATCACCATCGTCATCATTGCCACATATATACATGTGTCAGAAGAATGAGAGAAAATTATTTATGTCGACTACTTGAGTCTGAGTTAAGTGATAATGATGGTGATGGTTCAATTGATTATATACATGATGTAAACAGTAAACAACTCGTTCGATTACAGATAGAATGATTATCGATGTAATACATTCGTATTAAATCTGCGTAC